AAAAAAAAAAAAAAAAACAGAGACCTGCCACGGGAAATCACGGCAGAGTGCTTCCCAGCCATCAGATCACAGATGATCTGATGGTGGTGGTTGCAACAACAGTGAACAAGTGACTCCCGCTTTTTTTCTGGAATAAACTCGACTTCTGTCAGCAGTGATCCTGACACCCTCCACATACTCCATGATTGAAGGAGGGCTCCACCCAATGAGATAATTGCACAGCAGCAAGTAAAACACTGAAAATCTTCTATCCAGTGGGCCTATGGCCGATCCCACCCTCTTTTGGGGTTGCCCACACCCCCAACCGATTGAAAAGATTCTGGCGGGAAGGTTTCTTTGCATGGGCATGCCCAGTGTTAAGGAGAGGAGGAGGGGAACAAAGATCTCCTTACTTTTTCGGGTAATACATGAAAAGTACTGACCGGATTACGAGTACTGCACGGCAGGATTTGGGTCACTCACCTGTCCCACAAACTCGTTTATATCCTATCCCGTTAGTAGTGGGACCATGCTCCATTTATTCAGCATGGCGACGGCGTTGAGATATCATTGTTGAACTGACCGACCCTCAGAATGGTGGCTGCACTAGCGATAGCGCCCTGACGCCGGCAGACCAGCAAGGTCCGGTCCCTCCCGCTAGACTAGCGCCTGGGGAGGGGAGCTCCTCAGCTGCTAGGCATGTGCACGCGCCTGTCAGACGCGCGTGGCCCCTTTTGCCACGAGGCATCTGCTGGTGGTGATGTGGCCGTCCCGCGACGCGCGGGCAGGGGTAGCGCCAGCTGTGAGGTCGACGCAGAAACACAAGAGGGGCGCAGCTATCTGGTAAGAGATGGAGTTGGGGGGGGAGCTACAACGTGGAGCAGATGAATGGCTGATGACCTTGGAGAAGGAATGCAGGCGGTTACAGGTGATTGTGGGGGAGCTGTCTTTGCAGTCGCATGAGGAGCCAGAGGTCGAAGGGGGAGCGATTTCTGTGGCTGATTGGTTGAAAGATATGACTGACGACATGCTGGATATTATCTGGGAGCTGGAGGAGGGGCCGGATCCCCAGCTTGAAGCCTGCATCGATTGGAGGAGGGTAGATGGCATGATGTCTACCTGCTATGCCCTCTTCACTGAGAGTCAAAACCCGCGCTATATGCTTGAAGAGCGGCTGGAAGGCGATAACGACATGGAGGATGAGGACTGGCAGGAGAATGGAGCGAAGGAAGACGAAGATAACTCCGGCGTCAACAACAACAACAACAACAACGACAACAACAACGACAACAACAACAACAACAACAACAACAACAACAACGACAACAACAACGACAAGAATGACAACAACAATGGCGACAGCATCAACAACAATGGCGACAGCATCAACAATGACAACTACAACGACAACAACAATAATTACGTCGACAACAACAGCTTCAACAACGACAGCGCGGTCGGGGATGACGGTAAAAGCAATAACAAGGACAACAACAACAGCAACAACAACAACAACGAAAACAACAACGATGACCACGGTAACAGTGGGACTGGCAGCAGTGACCGTGCAACCAATTTCATCATCAGAATGGTGAGTGAGATGTCGGGATCTGATGTGGACAGTGGGAAGGGGATTGGGGCTGAAACAAAGTGGTGTTTTATCCTTCCCCCCTCCAATCTTCATAGGGAATTGCTTCTTGCTGTCTGGCTCAGGGCGGGGGTAGGATAGTTGAAGGGATTGAAGTTGCCCGACCCGCAATTTCAATCAAGAAGGGCGATCAGCCTCTGCTCGGCGTCATGATGGGGATATGGCTGATATGGCTGATGAGGAGGTTTAGGGTTTCCCCCTCGGATGATAAATTTTGATTGATAAACATAAGTTAGACATGTTTTGATGTTGTGCTTTGCTTTGATTTTTTTTGTTGGGGGATTGATGAACATGTGTTTTGATAGGATAATACTTCATGGGCTGGAGGTCAATCCTTCCCTTACGCAGGGAAGTAATCAATGCCTCGGCTCTTTCCTGAGATATAGGTAGACGTGCGAATACACAATAGGGATGCTGGCCCCAATTTCCAGCTCACACACATCACATCTGTGCTAGGGTTTCGTGTTTTGGTAGAGTGACATATCCTCACATCACTGTATAGGGACTTGCTCATCAGGGTAATTAACCCACAGGAGATATGTGACAAGGGGGCTGTAGAAGCCTCAGGCTGCAACTGTGTTCAGACTAATAAGCCGAAAGGTAGATGGACATAACATCATTGTAATACACATCACATCAAGTTTAGACATGATTGGGCTTGATGCCTCAGTTTGTGTTGGAGACATTGTAGATCAGATGGATAGGATCTTCCATCATCTGACATATATTGCTTAAACGTGCATACATAGGTAGTTGGAGATATCTACATTTCTGCATAGGGACGCTGGAACCGATCTCCAGCAGAGACATTCACATCTTTGTACAGGGACGTTGGACCCTATTTCCAGTAGTTACATTCACATCATTGTACAGGGACGCTAGACCCGATTTCCAGCAGGTGTAGCTCCCCACAAATAGATGGAGCCTTCGACGCCGGGACCTACTTACCGGGGATGCTCATATCACCTCGTTACGTAGGTTCCCGTATACGAAGTTTCAAAAAAAAAATGGAGGTTATTCAGAAGTAGTTGGATTTTATTCATCTGGATCCACCCGGATTCGAACTCAGGTCTGTATTTTTTTACTTTTTATTTTGTAATTAAAAGATTGTACACGTTCAACGTAGGGCAGTTGGCATTTCAAGAGTGCACGTACCAACCCACCTCATCTCGGGGTTAACAGCTAAGAGCATATCCCGAACAGGTAGATCTTCACGGTACTCCGTACCCAGTCACACAGTCGCACAGTCGCCGTCAACCCTTAGTCCCTCTGAGGTGCTGTGAGAAGCCCTTTCGTTCTCATCAAGGACTGCCTACCGCCAATGCCTACAATTTATTGGGCCATCCCTCCCCCTCCCCCCATGGGGTGCCTGACCCTAGAAGGCGAATGCAGTGTAGCCCAGCTGCTGGGTCGCAGACAGCAGACACAGATCTAATCGCCGGCCACCAACTGCAGATGATTTATAGCTGTGCCGCTGCAACCTCATACTGGCACAAGACAGCGAGCTCAGCGCCCCCCAGGTGGACCGAGCACCTTCCCATCTAGGCTCAGACAGGGAACCGGGAATATTCCCCTAAGCATCCACTCGGGCATGGCAGGGATCGAACCTGCAACCCGTGTCCCCGGAGAAGGGGCGTATTTCAAGACCTCCTCCAGCATGCGCCACAGGTGCCCCACCAGCGCAATGCTCAAACCTGCAACCTGTGGCAGTGAACACACTGGCACCCAATCCATCTGGGCTACAGTGCAAACACACTGTGCGAATGGCCCTAAGCTTGCACTCAGAATCCACAATTATATCAATATTCAGAACATCACACCAGAGTGCAGGCTCAAAGATTCAAACCCACACAACGGCGAGTATTACAGAATACCAATATCCAGTACGGCGCATCGGAGTAGTGCAGGCTGGAAGATCAGAACCCACACCCTAAGCCACAAAGGTGCATTACAGACCAACCGAGCCAAGGGGGCCATTGGTGTACAAACTGAGATACACCAGTTGGTCTATTTCTTTGTTTGGAAATGAACTATTTTTATTTCTTTTTGTATGTACGATGCTCCTTGAGATATCATCATCATCCAGCAGCCTAGCTCAGTTGGTAAGGGTCTGATCCGACTTCTTACAAGGATGTCACTTTTAGGCAAAATTTGGGATGCCACTTCTTTCCACGAAAGTAGGATCCCGCCCCTGAATGTCGGGGATGTAGAAACGGTCTCCTACATGTAGGCACGACCGTGATCGCAGGGGCAGTAGTTCTTTTGGTTTTCGGGAGAGGCCGACCTCCTCGTCCGCAGCGAAAAAGAAGACAGCAGTTCTTTTTTTCTTTTTTTTTTATCGGTCCAAACGGTAGTCCAGGAATGTCCACCTTCGGTGGACAGTGTGGGACGACCGGCACGGTACCGTAACCCCGACGGTGTGTCCCGCCCCGCGGCCCAGCGGTAACCAGTCACCACATCCTGTCCCAAGGCCGTGTACCCCCCCCCGCCCCCCCAGTTACCCCTGGGGGTCTGGATGTCCCACTTCATTGGCACTTCAGCAAGTGCCAGCGGAATAGCAACCTGAACGTTTATCCGCCCGGGAAGCCCACCGTATACATGCCATTGGGTCATGTCACGTGATTGTCCAATCGGTCTATTTATCGTCGCAGCCATAACGCAAAGCACTTCCTTCATTTCTCACGTGATCCAGGCGTCGAAAATCCCCGATTCCTCCACGCGTCTATCACAGCCACGTGCCATTGCTGGGGTCGCGGAGGTGCGTTGAAGTCCCACGTGTACAAGCTTCGTACTGAAGGTATGGACGGTGGTCGTCACACTTTCCAACGCCGTTCGCCATCCCTCTCCCCATCCCCGTCCCCGATGCCTGTTGAAACATGCATGGCGGATGTCCCGCCATCGACCCCTGCCACGTACGTCCCAGGTTATCAAGCTTCGTCGTCTGCTGGAGGTGGGTCGTCTTACGTACGGCCAACTCTCGTTATGCCACACGGTCTGCCGCAATAGAAAATAATTTATATGCTGAAATTGGTATTTTGAGGTAGTGTTATGCGGAGCGAGCGGGGGGAGGGGGAGTGGCTGGGCAGGCGGCATAGGGCTTGGGAGGAGGACAAAGTTAGGCTGGAGGTACGGGACCTGGAAGTCACTCAAGGGTTTCCTCTGCCAACCAGGTTCCGTTCTCCTCTATGGTTTCCATGTGATGTCAAGAGCGGTGTCAAGTCCCAAAAACAGTTTGTTAGGGTCCTGTCAAATCTGCATCTAGGAGTCTCGAATGACCTCCTTGATGGGAGGGTCTTTCTCCTCAAGGAAATCACGCTGCAGATAAGCCCTCAATTCTGACGGTTCTCTTACCACCACCGGGATAGAGGGCTTACACAAGGGCTCTTTTTGAAAAGAAAAGAAAAAAAAAAGAAAAAAAAAAAAACACTACCTCAATATACATTCCCCCATTATGTCTACCTTTCCGTGTTCATGCCTCTCCAAATCAATGTCTTGTTCCATTTGCATTGGCTTGGCTTCTCCTGATGTGCTTGATCCCAGAGGGTCTGCCACCTGTTCCAGAACCTCTGTGTAAAGTCGCAATCCCAGGACAGCAGGCTGCTGTTTTCACTCATCCGCCACCCCAGTCATCAGATTCATCCAGGCCTCGCCATAATTGCAGCCAGATAAACATCCAGGAAAGTGTTAGTGTGAGTATGCCCTTCGCAGACACGGGATGACACTCTGATGTAGTTCTTCCCCAGCATACTCTTGTTCAAAAAAGCTACAACATCGAGCGGATGAATGGATTACCACACTGGAGGTGGATTACCACACTGAAGGAGGGATGCTAGCAGATGCTGATGATAGTGGGGATGCTTATGCTGCGGCAGCAGGAAGGGCTGGAGATCGATGGGGGGCCGATCTCGATGGACCAGTAGTTGGAAGATAGGACTCTGGAGATGCTAGACATCATGTGGAAGCAGGAGGATAGGACTCTCGATGTGCACCCCCCTTCTCTCTCTC